GATAGTCCTTGGAGATAATAGTAGTGGAGGAGAGGAACATGAGATCAACAAAGCAAGGAAGAAACGAGCAGAGACATGGGTACAAGACGAAACTCGAAGCTTAATCGGTTTACGTAGAGAAATGGACAGTCTTTTCAACACATCGAAATCTAACAAACATCTCTGGCAACAGATTTCGAGTAAGATGAGAGAGAAAGGGTTCGATCGATCTCCGACTATGTGTACTGATAAATGGAGGAATTTGTTGAAAGAGTTTAAGAAAGCTAAGCATCATCAAGACAGAGGAAGTAGTGGTGGATCAGCGAAGATGTCTTATTACAAAGAGATTGAAGACATTCTTAGAGAAAGAAATAAGAAAGCTGCTTTGTATAAGACGACTACCCCTACTACACCTTCTTCTTCTGCTGCTAAAGTTGATTCCTTTATGCAATTTGCAGATAAAGGTGAGATCTTTTTGCTTCGTTCTTCTTGGGGTTTTAAGAATTCTACAATAGTTTCTTTCTTTGATCCTCAAAGCTACAGAGATGTTCTTGTAATTGGAATTTTTAGGGTTTGGATAATTGTTTAATGGATTGAGAAGAAGAGATTTGGTGTTTTGGTTTCAGTTTTGTTACCCTTTTGGTGTTAGACCTGGCTTAAAGGGTTTTGACTATTAATGGCTAAATTATAAAGTTAGTATGATTTGGTGGTAAACTATTGACTTTTGATATATCTTTATCTTACTGTAGGTTTTGAAGATACGGGCCTTTCCTTTGCATCTGTTGAAGGTACTGATCTCATGTTTTGAGAATTTGTACCATTCTTTGTTTATCAATTCAACTTTCAAGGCTCCTCCCTTTTAATGATGTTGAACTCCGTCATAACTGGAGAAATACATCAAGGTGTTTATTGATTTAAACAATGAATTGCATTCGATAGAGTGATCGTTGTGTCAGTTTTTGCTAAATCAGTGAAATGAAGTGAACTTATAGCAACAACGAAGAATGTCAGTGCTAATGTGAAGCCGTTTATATCTTGTTTATGGGCTTATTGGGAGGAAGTTTGTTTGTTGCTTTCAGTTAGTTTATTAACTCTTGGAACTTTTTCCTTTGTTTCCCTAGCTCTGACTCTAGTGTAGTTTGATTTGTGGAAGTAGTTTTAGTCTTGATAGGAGTATATATATGTCCAGCTAATGGCAGGCCAACGCTAAATCTCGAGAGGCAGCTAGATCATGATGGTCATCCTCTCGCCATTGCTTCTGATGCCGTCACAGCAAATGGAGTTCCTCCTTGGAATTGGAGAGAAACCCCTGGAAATGGTAAGTAACCGGAAAAAAAAAAAAAAGAGCTGTTTTGTTTCCACCAAGCTCTTGATTTTTATGTTCCACTCATTTTGTTGGGTTCTCTCGGTTTCTTTTATTCTTGACAACTATTTCTCGGTTTCATGTTTAAAGCAGGCGGCGATGGTCAGTCGTTTGTTGGGAGGATCATAACAGTGAAATATGGAGACTATACAAGGAGAGTTGGGATTGATGGTACTGCTGAAGCAATCAAGGAAGCCATCAGATCCGCGTTTAGATTAAGAACAAGAAGAGCTTTTTGGCTAGAAGATGAAGAACAGGTTGTTCGCTCTCTTGACCGAGACATGCCTTTAGGGAACTATACACTCCATGCCGATGAAGGTAAATACATTCGATGCAGTAATCTAAAAAATATTTTTTCTGCTTATTCCATCGAATATGATCTCTGGTTGGTTAGAGGTTTCTTAACATCCAAATCGAAATACAGGGATAGCCGTTAGAGTGTGCCACTATGATGAATCCGATCCAT